AACACGCATTCGTACTTTCCATCCCACTTAGAGTCTCTGCCGGTGGTAATAAAAAAAGAAGTAATTTCGATTGGTTGAAATGTCTCTTAATGTACCTTTCAAACTAGTCGCGACCGGTACTAACGCGATCGCACTAGTCGCGCGTAACGGCATCCGCGTCGCGAAAAATCGCCGATAAAGCTAGAATTATTACGCGGCGATGCAGCGCGAGGGCGATCGATAAACTCCCCTCTTCGCCTACCGCGTCTGAGAGACGGGCAGTATCGGGAGCGATGAAATTTAATGTATCAGCGTTCGCACTTAGCGGCCTAATGCGAATTCCGCGGCGATAGCTGCTGATTTACGCCGGCTCTTGGCGCCGCGTCGGCCCCCGCCGTTTCGTGCCGGCCGCTCAAACTGCACGCGGGATTTCCGCGTACGATGCAGAGAGAAAAGGGGGGGGGGAGAGAGAGAGAGAGAGAGAGAGAGAGAGAGACGTGCGCTAAACGTAAGACGAGGGTAAGGTAGCTAGATAGATACGCGCGTACGCAAGTCGGTAAATCACGCAGTGAAAGCCGCTCAGTTTCGGCGGTAGATACAACTCGCGGGCCGCGTTTAACGCTAATGAGACACCTGTTTGACAGGCAAGGGGGTCGCCGGTTTTCTTATCGCACGCATCATAAACATCCGTTCCGTCTGGCCCATGGACAGGCGCCTTTCCGCGTCCTCGTTGTCGCCTCCGCACCGATTGGACTCAAATCGCGGCAGACAATGTGACGATGAAATTTCATGATATCGCGCGCTTTCCCCTCGCTGCGTTGCCTCCTCGATTTTCTTGATTTCTCGCTGCTATCTCTTCTATTCTAACCTGTTCAGGCGATTCTATAACTTAATCCGGCCACTGGTTGAGATTTTCCTTTCGTAATTACATTAAATCACGTCCGAGTGTCGCGGCTTGTGGTTCACGTGTTTGGCGTATTATCAGCATTGTTTGCAGGAGTTCGCGGCAACGCGTGCTTTATAATCTATCGGCGATTACGCGCGACGTCCGGGCGCGATGCACCCTTAAAGGTAGAAATTAATTGTGGCGGGCCTTAGCCAGAAATACCCCAAAATAGACATGCCTTTATAAGTCCCAGATATAGTCTATATTTGACCGGAAATACCCGTTTGTTAATTTTTTATCGAATAATTTCTCTCAGTATGTTTCTATACTGTAAGAAATTATTCGATAAAAAAATTAACAAACGAATATTTCCGATTAAAATATCGATGAACTTTTGTATTCAATCAAGAAACATTCGGTTCATAATTTTTATGAAGAAATATATATTTTTATCAAGAAATATCAGTTCATAATTTTTTATCTGATGAAACGCCATTATGATTGAAACTATACGATAACATTTAATCGGATATCCTGATTGGATGTAAAAATTGATTGAAATTTGTAGGGAAATATCCGTTTGTAAATTTTTGATCGGACAATTTCTCTCAGTGTATATCTCTGCGTGACCTTAAGTGGACTTGTCTTTATAGGACCTTAATAGAAGTAGGAAAGAACTGTCTAGGCTCTTTTTAATTCCTGTTTCAAATTTGTATCCGTATATATTCGCAAATTGTGAGGAAAGTTCGTTCCGTGCGACCCGGTCGGATTGATCCTCGCATCGTTAAACTGTCACATTTCTTCGGGGAATTTTTGGCCCTGACTACTGTAATAAACTACTCGCCCGCTCGCTCGCTCGTCCTCCTCGTAACTGGACGCACCTGGTATCTGGGCCAATGTTCCTATTGCCTCGCGTTCTTACGTCGCTATTCGATGAACACGCAACGAGTCGCCGGCACGTGGCACGCGACACATGCTACGTACATGTCCGCCTTAATGAAGCGGCGGCATTGATGCCAGGTGTAGAAGTTTCTACGACTAGATTCTAAGTATCGTATCCGATGGGGCTCCGTTGGGATTAAATCGTTGTCGATATCTCTGCGACTGAAATGGTCGTCCGTTGCGAAAATGTCTGTGCGACATTCTGTATGCGTCGCGCGTGCAAAATTACATGAAAGAACGATTCGAAATATTTCCGAGAGAATGATTGATCGTTTGACGAAGATAGAGACGAAAGCGATATATCGCGTCTTTAAATTGAAGAGTCTTTTGTGGTATGCAGCAAGTATTTGTATAGTAAAAAATTACGTATAATTTATAAATATAAGAATTATTCGGCAGATGAGAAATTGAAAGTATATTTGGGAATATCAAATAATAATAATTGTAATAGAATTTTATTTATTAATCTACTATTATTTTTTATTTTTTTTAAAGTACTTTATTTAAAATGCTTTGTAACGTACTCTTTGAATTTCTTAGAGTGAAATTTCACTCGGAGTACACCGAAGAAAAAATGTTTGTTATTTGTAACTATAATCACACATTCAATCATAAATTATAATAAAAAAAAACTATTTTTTAAATTAAATTCTACTATAATCTTAGTGATTTTAGTTAGGGCAATCCTTTTTTGCTCTCAGTGTATGCTCTTTTTCTCTTTCGTTATCTCTCCCACTGTTTTACTAGTTGAAAGTAATCTCGCGTTACATGAAGAACGAATTCATGAGTCGAATATTTTTGATTAATTCTATATAAAAAGCGAAAAAGAGGCGATATCCGATGAAGATATTTGTAGCTTCCCTAGATTACACAATCAGCGTTGCTATTTCTCTTCTCCACGAATTAATTAGTATCGCAATCAGAGAGACGAACCAACGAATCGTCGTCGGACAGTCTGAATTCTCTCAACCGACGTGAAGTTCCATTTCCCTGCGGAATGCAGTCGTGTGTATACGTTCGTGCGCGCGTGCGCCTCGATAATGAAAATCGCGGACGATCGAACGAGTCCGTTCCATTTGCCACGCGCTTTTAATTACAGACACGAGGTATGCCGGCTCTCGCGCGTACTCTCTGTGTGTCTGTTTGCCGCCCTTTATTTGCGCTATCCTACCGTCTAATTGCCTACACGACGAGCTGCGCGTAGTAGAGTCGACGTATGTGGGCGTTATTGCAAGGTGCTCTCTCTCTCTCTCTCTCTCTCTCTCTCTCTCTCTCTCTCTCTCTCTCTCTCTCTCTCTCTCTCGCTCGCTCGCTCGCTCGCTCGCGAGAGAGTCTCGCACCTTCGGCGGTCTCTCTTCTCCTTCGAAGATGAGGAGATACGCGTGCCGTGAGGCCGGATATTAAATTAAACGATACGGCGTGCCGATATGGCCTAGGAGTACACATCGCGCGGTAGTGCTTTCGATATCGCCGGCAGTTAGCGCCGCGTCGATTGTGTCGTTTATTTATCGAATGGGAACGCGTTGTATTAATTATAATTTAAAAAATCGCTTTTCTCAGTAGATTCTTCACTTATGTAATAAATAAATAAGTCTTGATCGTGTTACTTTAAGTCCTCGATGAATCAAGATAACGCACTATCGTCCGCGATTTTCGTTCATGTGTGGTTCACATGAAGTAAAAATATTTCCGACTAGATCAAGAGAAGGATTATTTTACCGATTGTCGGTGAATATTCACTGGTTTTCAGAAGAAACAGTCTAAATTTATACTACTCCGTTTTGTACTTGACTGCTTTCTATCAGCGGAAGTAAGATCTCACTGCAAAATCTGTAAGACAAATGCGGTGCCAAATCCAACTTTTTGCGTTTGTGCACTGAGAAAAAAATACTTGAAAATTTATTTGTGGGATATAAAGTTTATTTCTTTGAAATAAACTTTATTTCTGTAAAACAAAACTTATTTCTGCGAATGAAGCTTATATGAGAAAAATAAAAAAAAATAAACACTAATAAATTTTCGAGTTTTTTTTCTCAGCGATGGAATTAACGACTTCCTTGTGCCTTGCGTGCAGTGACACTGTCTATGCTCGCAAAGTGATCAATAATGAGAACAGTCGTTAATATCAACGGATTCTTTTAGGGAGATCTTACTGATTGCAATGCTATAGTTCTAATTGAAAACCAGTTCTAAGTGTAACACTTCAATGAAGTGTATACTAATTGCGTCTTAGAGAACAATATAATCATATGCTGGTTTGAATGTAATTTCGCTTATAACGGTGATAATTACGCAGCTTCGAAGACTTTTGAGCAGAGTGAAATTTTTATAACTTCTTTGATCTCGACATTGCCCCTCGAAATAACGAGCGCGATGTTCTTTTTCACTCGAAACCGTGTTGAAGCATCGTTATGGTTTGTAACATGCGCGACTATCCGACGTCGGACTCGTGAACAAGCTCGTGTCGTAACATCCTGGTGTGCAAGAGTGTACTTGAAGATGCAATCTCAGACATTAACACATTCCGCGCGGGATACTCCGCACCCTCTTTCATCGCGCGAGGAACGCTTTGGCTCTGATTAAATTCCACCCGCATTCCTGCTCATCAGTGCGCCCGTGTGTGCGCGCGCGCGCGCTCCTCAACGGGAAAAGGCGGAGAGACAGAGAGAGAGAGAGAGATGAGAGAAAGAGAAAGGAGAGAGAGAGAGAGAGAGGGAGGAGAGGACAGTCACTGGTTGACTACACGTCCCCTTATAATTCTAGGTGTATCGGCACGACGTTGATTGCCCTCTAATCAGCGCGATTAACATACACTCTCCCCTAGTATGTCGTGATTCTTCCTCCTTTCACATGCAATTTATTCAGCAGAATTAGCCCGACTCGTAATATTTCCGATTAATCGCTTCCGTCTCACCCTCCTTTTCATCTCGCCCTCTTGCTTCCACTAATCGGGGCAAGACAATTATCCCTTAACCGTTATTAGTGCGTAGTCCGAAAGACTCTAAGGACGATTTCTCCTTCTGTCTTTTGCGAGATATTTGGAAAGCGACGCGCTGTCCGATCTACGCGAAGGATTAGAGCAGCCTTCACGGCTCGTTTCTGCACCGGTCGGTGTCGGGGCGAAAATTACGATGTTTAACGCGGTGTGATGATCAGACGCGTGATATAACTCGATCCATTTGTCTGATTACAGGAGGACGAGGCAGTGGTGCCAGAGGGCTGGCCGCTGACGTTAGGCGGCAGCGGCCTCGTCCTGCAGCTGGGTGAGCTCGAGGCCTCCGCGCTGCGTCTCGGGGAATGTTACCTGTGCGTACGCAGCGCGGCTGCAACTGCAACTGCAACCACCTCGTCGGTCAGCGGCGTCACGGCCGCCGGTGAAGCCGCCGAGCAGAATACCGTTGAGGTGAGTCACGTTTCTTTTTCCGTTTTTGTTTTTCTCCCTTCTCTCTCTCTCTCTCTCTCTCTCTCTCTCTCTTGCCTCCCTCTCCCCCTTCTTCTCTCTCTTTCCTCTTTCTTTTTCATCCTTTTCTTTTCCTCTCCTCCTTGTCGCGATGGAACGGCGCGTCGGTGACGTCCTCGGATACCGTCGCGAGAAGATGACACCTCCGTCTTAAGAGCCGTCGCAGACGCGACCGGAATTCTCGGCGTTCCTTCCGCGTGACCGTACGACGAGTCCCCGGCATAAATATTAACAGTCACCGCGCTCGCGCGCGCACGGATACGAGCGCGTAATGGGAGGCGCATTATTAGATGCGTGCACTTAAGCCTCCGGGCTTATTGGATAATAAAAGGTGCATCTCCGAGAACGCTGAGGGGACATTGTCACGCTCATGACGCTCCCCCGCATTCCCGGAAGTGTGTCGGACAATCCGATTTGATCCGCAACGGTGAGTTACACGAGTCGGCTTAATTCACTTTCTAACGTGTACCGATAGGTGCACTGAGAGGAATCAACCGATAGAAAATTAACAAATGGATATTTCCGATCAAAATACCGATAAATTTCTATATCCGTTCAGGATATCCGATTAAATTTAATCGGATATTTCCGATCATAATGGTATTTCATCAGATAAACCGATCAAAAAATTATAAACCGATATTTCTTATTGAATGTTTTCTGAAATGAAAATTCATCGGTATTTTAATCAGAAATATCCGTTTGTTAATTTTTTATCGCATAATTTGTTTCGGTGCGATGAAATGCCATTATGATCGGAAGTATCCAATAAAATATAATCGGATATTCTGATCAAATATAAAAATTCATCGGTATTTTAATCGGAAATATCCGTTTGTTAATTTTTTATCGCATAATTTGTTTCGGTGCGATGAAATGCCATTATAATCGGAAGTATCCAATAAAATATAATCGGATATTCTGATCAAATATAAAAATTCATCGGTATTTTAATCGGAAATATCCGTTTGTTAATTTTTTATCGGATAATTTCTCTCAATGTGTGGATTTTTTGAAAGGATACGTTAAGATCAAAGGAATATCACGTCGCTGTTCACAGATAGCAGTGGTCTGGCGAGCAACGTCGATGAGGGCGCCGGGGATTTTGGGTTGGGACCGCGAGGACGAGTTCATGGACTGGCGGGACCTGACGAACAAGGGTCAGTCGAGCTCGTCGGGTGCGGCGGGCACGAGCCTCGGCGGGTCTCAGTCCTCGGGCGCGATGAAGGCGAGTCGTCCGCGCCGGAGGTCGCGCGAAGAGGCGCGTCCGAGGACGCGCGAGACCAGCAGGACCAACGCCGAGCATCGCCGCGAGGAGACCAGGTCGATCGATAGACTGGAGCATCATCACCAGTCATCGCGCGAAGACCGCGCGATCGATCGCGAAACCGGCTATCACACCGCCACGGTGATGAAGTCGCGTTCCGCGTCCAGCGTGGACGCCTGGAAGGAGGAGCTCGACGGCGACCTCGAGCGAGGCTCGAGTCGCAGAGCGCACTACCCCTGGAACTCCTCTAGTCCGACCGGCGATGAAAGCCGCGCCAAAGTAAAACGGTGCGCCAAGGTCGTCTCCACCATAACCATGGAGAAGTGGAAGGAGAGCAGCAGGTGCGAGACCCGCAGCAGGTCTGTCGCACCTGAGGACTTGAGGAGCCCGTTGCTGTTCGAGGGGAACGTGCTGCGATGGGACAACGCCGCGGACGACACCGCCAAGGATCTCGAGGACAGGTTGCGCAACGCGGGCGGTCCGGACGACGTCAGCGACGAGGATTTGCCGGCATACATAGGCAATCTGCTCGTCACCGTCGAGAGAAAGATCGAGAGGGTCTCGCTCGATGATATGACGTTCCCGTGCCCAGCCTGCAGGAACATCGACACGGACGACCCGCTGTTGGGCTGCAGATGCGCCGGCGACGACTGTGGCTGCGGCGCCGACGAGGATAACTGCGACTGTGCCTCCGTGACGGTCTCGCGGAAGGAACAGAAGAGCTTCGAGGTCGCGGGAATTAAACATATCGACAGCGATGACGAGGAGGAAGTACGAATGGGATTCGGTGAGTAATTGCCGACCACTTTACGCATGATTTTACGTAGAATAACTAAGAATAGATGTTAGGCCCTAATTTAGAGTGTTTTCCAATTAAGGAACGGGTTGGACATAATATCCAGTTTTTTTAACAATAATTTAAAAATTCTCGAATATATATTTTCTAAGTTATTTCTGTAATTACTATATTGCAAGTAATTATGACAACATGAAACCCGATACTTACTTAAACTCATATTACACTACAGTTTGCGGATTTCATTGCGGAGTTCATTGGTTGGGGTTACAATTAACCTCAGTTATAGATTGCTCGATTTCACTAACAAAAAACCTTATAAAACTACTAATCTACACGTGACTCTTGCGATCTGATTGGATGATATTCCAACAACTAGACCAGAAATAGGCTCAAGTCTAAATTATAATCCGCAACCTGACCGGCTGCGAACTGCTTGATAGATTTCGAACAACCAACTGCAACGAAGATCGCAGCCCGTAGTGTAATACGGGCTTTATGCAAGCATGCACACGCGCGTATGATTTACCGGCGACTAAATCCTCGCGGTCCGCCGAACTTGAAAGTCTGGCCGAAGTACGGCGTGGGCGGCAGGCGGCATGTACCTTGTAAAGTGGCTACTTCACGTCATGCCGGCTATTGAAAAATCCGAACGCCGCACCGAATCGCGCCGCGCCTCCCCATCTTGTTCGCAACGGCGGTGGAAAAGTCGCCACGTTAAAAAGAGAGAGAGCGCGGTACGTGTGAATAGAGAGAGAGAGGAAGCGCTGTGTTCTCTCGCGACGCGGCTGTTTGCAATGCACGTGCTCGCTGCTCGACGCGCGAGCGCATACAAGCCTTACGGCCCGCAGCCGCGACGAAGTTTACGACGGAAGTACTTCCTGCTGAACAAAGTACGACTCTGAGTGGCAGTAATACGCTTGCGGGGAGAAATTTGCGCGCGTTAATTCGCGACTTATTCCGCGATATAATTTACATACGACTTTCTACTCGTGCGCGTTTCTAGAAAAAAAAGAAAAGACCGACTGAAGCTCGTGCTCGATCAGTCTATTCTCGATTTTCCAAACTGGGTGGTCTTTACTGCATCTCACATTGTGAGACAAAAATATCTAAGAAAAAAAAAATATTCATTCGGTCGGTACTAATGACATATTTGCACGGAACAAGCAGCATAGATGGCTTTCTTTTTCATTTCTTGTATACTCTTCTTCTTCCATTCCTTGTATATTTCTTCTATTACCACCTATTATACACATTTTTTCTATCGATAATTTCCTTTACATTACCATAAATTGAATACCATTAATTGAAGAGCTTGTTTACATTACCTACACTACCCTAACTATTCGTTCTTTGTGACTCCATGAGTACTACATAAAATTTATCTAGATCAATTTTTGACTTATTGTTCTTAAAAATATGTGCTTTGTTTTTCGTCATAACTGTCTTCAACTTCATTGAATCGCGGAAACATTAATGGACTTATATTTTTTGATATATAATACACTAATTAAAAAAGAATTGTATTTCGATCATTTTTCCGGAAGTTATGAGCGAATAAAAATGCTCTGAATAAGATTGTTTATGGTTTACCGAACTTTTTGATGCTTATGTTGCAATTCTAAGCAAAAATACGAGTAAATCGAAAAATTGTAAGGTCGTACCTTATGAAAAAAACAAAAAAAATCGTAGATATTTACGAGTTATCATATGACATACGGTCCGCATAGAATTACAGATCTACTCATAAGTTCTTACGAGTCTTACGAAAACAAGTTACGAGTTTTACGATTTTGTCTAGAATTGCAGTATTAATGTTTTAGGATTAAATAAATATGTTACCCACCGAGTAAATATTTTTTTATTTTTTAAGAATTTTTTTCTCACGTCAGCGTGGAGGCTGACTTGTTTCTCTAAAAACTGTTTACGACTTTTCTACAAGTGATTTGCGACTTTTCGCAAATACTTGCGCTACTTCACTTTGCAATGACGTCGGGGTCAGCCGAACGACACGGTCAGAGTCGAGTCGCCGATATTTCGTCGCGTATCTCTCGGCGCTGTAAATTTTCAAGTCATGTGTCACAATCCCGCTTTAATCCGTCGCCCCGGGGGCATCGTTAACGAGCGATGACTCGCGTCGGCGACGCGGGCGTAATTGTAACGGACGAGTATGCAAATTGTCGGCGCGTTCGCTTGTCACTCGATCTTTCGCCGCGGAACTCGCCAAACGAATCACTCGCGGATACGGGCCGGACCGGGCCGAACCAAACTTTAAAGTCTCGCGACTCTCCTCGGCCGATCTCTTTTCGCGTCCTCCCACGCTCATCTCGACGCGCCTCTTTGGTAACCGCCGCCGCCGTCGCCGACAGGTTTGCAAAGTCAAGAGCCTTTATTCGAGACGTCGCCACGTAAGAGTGACTTACGGCATTCGTCGTCCGTTCCGTTGCGTGACGTCTTTTTCTTTTTTTTTACGCGGCACTGCATAATTTGTGTCGTCCTACATCGTGGGATTTTTGCACGCGCTAAGTACGATTACACCGTCGTGGCAGCAATTCGCGCGCAAACGCGAATACGATTATCGTAATGATCAATTTCTTCATCTCGCGACTTTCTACGTTCGGAATTGAATGCGAAGCAGAGTTGTAAAAATGTCAAAATTTTCTTAATACAATAATTGACTCGAATAAATATCTATCAATTTAACGAATTGATTCGAATTCGATTGAATTCGTTGAAATTAATTATCAATTAGACCATTTCGCGATCCAGTGCTCTTCTCAAGATAAATACTAAAGATAGTTTTGGGGCCATATAGCCCCCCCCCCCCCCCCCC